TCCTGCAGCTCTGGGCTGCACAAATGTACAGCAGGTGCTAAATAATTCAAAATAATTTATTTGAAATAAAAATTCCATGCCGATCATGCGGCTCATCCATCAGTCAGTCACATGTGTGTCATGTCCAATCTTATTTTGAAAAACCGCGATAAACAAACTGCAAAGTAGCGAGGGACTACTTTATAAAATTTCATATTAAAACACACTAAAATAGGTTTGTAAAAGCAGCTAGATTTTATTATTATATATTAATATATGAACTATTCATAATATTTTTTTGCCCTTTCGTTCCTTGACTTAATAGAAGTTTATGTTGCAACAGGTGTTTTCTTTTGTAACTCACTTTGCACTGCAGAAGTGTGTGCAGGAGATTCTCTGTGCAAAACTCGGTTTCATCTTCAATCTTATTTTTTCTCTGAACAAAGACAAAAGATTTAAATATGTATAATGAGGATTTTGCAGACACAGCCCCACACAAATGATCGTGCAGATAAAGTACTTGTGCAAGAGTCATCCAGTCCCTCAACTCATCTGCGTCTGGGATCTCTGTAGTGCACTCTGGAAACCAATCTACTTTCTCTATTGCGCTGGGCTGTGAAGACAAAAACAATCCTATTTCAAACAAAAGATTTCTACTACAAAACAAATCAACTTTTAATTTTGCCAACCTCTGGTTCATCTCGCCAGTCAACGTTGAGCTCCCCCTGGAAACCCTGCAGTGTGAGACCCAGACCTCTTCTACCACGCTGGGTGGAGGCCTCCACAATCTCTTTACGCCCCTGACCAAACTTCCCCAGACCTTCGCCTTCTCTGAAGCCCATCTTGGCCTGGAGGTGCAAGATTTGACATACAAGAGAATTAGAAAACATAGAAACAAAAACAAATGCTAGCCAGAAAAATAAAGCGCTTCACATAAATCACAGAAATGAAAAATTAAAATGTTTTACAGACTTCTAAAACATTAAGAAGAGACATGTCTTAGTCAGGTTTTAATTTATTTACCATAAGTTTCTGTGACACGCTGTTGTACGTGGAGAACTTTGAGGTCTGAGTGGAGTCATCGTTGTCTTTGGAATCTAAGGAGGATGAAGATATGGAGGGCATGGAGAACCCGGGTCTGTGGTCCTCCTGGTCACTGAGAGACTCATTTTGGCTGGAGTCTGGACAGGACAAAACCACAGAAACAAATGCAAAAATGATTTCATTAAAACAAGAGCTGAACAGGTCTCCAAATTTAAAATATTCAACAATGATAAACAAAAACAATCCATAAGACCACAATCTTATACTTCTCCATAAAAATAAAACTGATTTTGAAAAAGACTGTCAGAAAAAGCCAAAGTTCAACTTAATGAAAATTAAGTTAATGAATTTGTTTTCCCTTGATTGACACTTGATGTTTACTGTGGAAAGGGGACATTACCTTGTCTGGACTGTGACTCTTCGTCTGAGCTGCTCTCGTCGTGACGCCCCTTTGTCCCCTGCAGCGGTACAAACGCTGCATCAGCTCTTCTCTTCATTGTAGCTGAAAAGGAGCAGAGAAGACTATAATGAGATGCGTCAATAAAATAAAATATCAATCCAGAAACAAATTCAGTCTGATAACAAAAGTTATAAACTAATAAATTGGGACGCCTTCAAAGATGTTGATCTTGAAACTAATCTACTAATATTTTTGCTGTTTGTTAAGGTCATTTTAGGGCTCTTGTAAACCAAGCCAGTAACTGATTGTCAAGAACATCAGGAAATATCTACCGTACCTCTTTACAGCTGTTTAAGGCACTGATGACCTTCTCAACACTTTTCAGCCAACTGATTATGCTTAAAAAGTGTTAAGTCTCAAGTTGGATGACTGTGGTTTACCCTATTTAAAAAAAATCTGTAGCAAGTCGATGTGCTGTTTGTATGATTCAATGAAGCTTAAACGCTTAATACTGTTGGTATGTGTTTAAAAAACAGTCATGTGTATCTTTGGAAATTGATTAGCAACTTATTAAGTCTTGAAACACCCAAAAAGCTAATATGGTGTTCTGCACAAACCATTGAACTAATAATGACTTGAACTTTACACAAACATTGTTTTGTTCTTGTTTGTTGCAGCTTTATTTTGCAAGTTAACGTCTTTTGCCCAAATACTCACATTGTATATCAACGTATGCCTTTTAGTGTCTTTAAAACATGCTTGCTGTTTTATTATTATTATTATTAAATGCTGGCAATTTAGGATACACAATAGGGAGATCAAGAAATTGATTTGACAAGAGCCATTAAACACAAGCAACTGAACACTGAAACTGCATTTAAACAACAGGAGACGTCACACATAGCAAATGTAAAATTTAAATAAATAAGTATAGGTTGCAACTAAAGATGTCAAATAGTATGATGTGTTTGGCACTATGTGAACTCAATCAATTTTCATTTAGAATTGAATGAAAAACAAATTTGAACAAAATTAAGAAATTTGCAATTAGTTTTGAATTTTTTTTTAACATAAACCCTAAATTTACCTTTACTTTTACATATGATATGATTATATATATTTAAATAGCTTTAATATATCACCTTAGGCTGACAAATCCTTTAAATGTTTAAATGGTGTTGGCAACTGGGCCAGCTTTCTGGTGAAGATTAACAAAGTGCAGACTGGTGTACTTTATTTATATAAAAAAATTACTTATTTTGACTATGTACTGTATATACTCTTTCTCTCTCTCTCTATATATATATCAAGAATAAGTTGCGTTATGACCAAAAATTGTGGTAAATAAAAAATAAACTCTGCACTCTTCTCAAATGAAAAGATGAATGAAATGTGAATGAAAAGTACTAGTGATTTAATATGAAACAGGCGACTTGAGGTGTTTTGTGACTGCACATTGTTTTCTCTTATTACGTTTGCAAAGCAACACAAACGACAATTTTATCAAGAGCAGCTTCACATAACTGAAAATACAAACGACTTAGTTGGTAGAGATTAATATTAACTTATTTCTAAAGGTAATGCATTCCATGTACAGTAGTCACATCACAGCTAGATAAGCCATAGCTGTTTTAGACCACATGAAACAAAAAAACGATAGTAAATATAGTTCGCCTGAAAATTAAACTGAGAGCACTTGCAAATATAAACTGTTACCTATGAATTACATTATAAACATCTTGAAGACAAGCCCATTTCAATCTCCGAGATACCTTTTTGGAGAACACTTAACCAAGACGTCCCTAAACGTCAGAACCCCTGTGTTAGTGGGTGTTTTAAATGAAACAAAAATACGCAGCATTAGCTGTTAGCCTGCTATGTTAGCCAGCTATTTGTTTTACCAGCTTAGAAGAAAAACTGCACTCTTCTGTGAGGAAACAACATCGACTGAAGAATACGGCCAAGTATGTTTCAAAACATTGAAGTTAAAAATTTATTTTTTGAACAGAAACCTGAAGAACATAAACAGTTTCCAGAGTTAACGTTAGCCTGCGTTCTATGTTTTTGGAGCGTCCATGGGCCTTCGTTGTCCGGCGGCGAACAGTGATGATGTCATGAGGATCAAATCACGCTGTTCAGATTAGTGCCTTAAAAAAATAGTGCCTTTTAAATTTGTCTCTTGTTCCTCCAATTTACTATAAATTTTATTATGTTTTTTTGTTTGTTTTTTACTTTTGTTGCATTTAGTTGTATAGTCTAATTTTCGTTGTTTTTGCTGGCTTCACATTTTAATACAGCATAAAAATCTACCTCTGTTAAAGAAGTTACCTTTTTTTTTTTTTCATTTAGCCTTTATTTATACAGGTTAGTCTCATTGAGCCACGAGAACTCATTTTCAAGAGAGACCTGTTTAGGGAGCACATGGTGGGGGTTAAGGGCCTTGCTCATGGGCCCAGAGTGGGGTGAATGAGGGTGGGGGCAAGTGTGGGTGTTTCACCTACCCCACCCACAATTTTGATGTTGTCGGGGCCGGGGCGTGAACCGGCGATCTTCGGATCACAAGCCCACCTCTCTAACCTCTGCGCCACCACTCCCCCTTTGCTTTTTTGTGTGAGGCGTTAAAAGCGTCTTCAAAGTTGTGTTTTGCTTTTAATTTTAAATATAGTTGAAAATTAAGTTTTCACAGTATGTCAGACAATATACCACATTACTGTACCTTTTTCATCCTGAATGTTTATTGTGAAGAATTGCACACTTAAGAGCAGAACATGAAATCAGGTGGCACAATTCAAGACAGATGTTTGCTTAATCCTTGGTGTGTCCTAAGGCAGCTGCCTCAGAATCCTTTGTACCAGTAGGGATTGTGAATATTGTAATTATTCCTAATTGTTAAAACCACTTATTATTGACCCAGCAGATGTCACTAAAGTGTTGTGTCATCTGTTGAGGGAATGTCAAAGCAGAAAATGACCCCAGCCCACACACATACACACTCAATTTATGTTTAATAGTCTTAGACTATCTTTTACATCCGCTGCCTGCCCAATGGCCCTTCTAATTCGTCACTGACACAGATGCATGTACACAAACAAAGACAAATTTATCAGATTATGCCATAGCCAAGGCTTTATATCCAACCTGCAGAGAGCAGATTCCTCTAGATCACAGAGCAGGTGTGTGATGGTGTACCTGGCTGGGTGAGGTGTGTGTATCTGTGAACTCTGAGGAGAGCTGCTGCAGCCACCACGCTCAGCCAGGTGGAGAAAACAGGAGACAAATATACACACAGGAGCAGCGGGTTAAAGGGAGGAGGTCCTGAGAGAGAGTTGCTCCGAAGTTCTGTGGTCTCAATGGTACACCACCAGAGTGAACAACAATGTTTTTTCGCATCCCTCGACTGACCCCTGGATATATTAGATACCTCCAGGTTAGTACTTTGCTTTTGAATGTTATTCTTTAGGCAGATTGTGGATTAATTTTTAACTAGTTAAATTAAACTGCAGAATTAAATCACTGTTATTTTAGTATAAATCAAATGCACAACTATTTAAACCGAAATGTTAACAAAATATAATACATTTTTTGTACTGAATGAGCTTACTCGCTCAGAAAGCTTATTGATTCATTACTTTTAAACACATTTATTATATTTATGTGAGTCATGACAGTGTTTAGGACAGAGGACTGAAGCAGACTCTCTAAGTGGATTTGAATCAAAGCTGTTTTAGGTCCTCGAGATCGGGTCAGTGCTTTCTAATTGGATCTCCTGAAGGAAAAGCATTAAATAATTTGCCGATCGTTAAATAATTTGCTGATCGGTGTTTTATACACCTGCTGCTGGATTTTAAATGTTTTAAAAATAACAAACATCAGCTTATCATCTGCACTAAAGTTTATTATAAGTTGATTCTAAGATCTGCGGGGACCTTTCTGTCAGCAAACCACAGCTTTTTAATCAAAAATCGTTGCTCTTCTTGGAGAAATATTTGTTTTTTCATGTCATTTTCACACAAGTGGAAAAATGCATGCTTTAATTACATTTTTGAGATTGGAAAATGTTTATATCTAGTACGCTTTCAAATATTTTAAACCATTTTCAGCTCTTGAAAGAGCACCTTACCTTGGAGTTTGTTACAAAAATGTGGAGACACAATTTTCAGATTACAGCTGAAAAAGCAACAAGCTTTAAGAATAACAGAATTTAATGTATATCTGACTTAGGCACCTCACAGGGCTGATAAAAAGAGGAAAATGTATCAGGATAACTTGGATCAATAGGTTTTTTTTAACATAGCGCCAATTCACTATAAGTTCCCAGGGTGCAATACAACAAGCATAAATCCAAAACCAGTTCAAAACTGATCCACATTTAAATCTGATTACAGTCAATTCAGTCCATTTACAATATAACACATATAAATAAAGTACACTATGTAATGCCAATTAGTAGGAAGGTTAACAATCTAAGGAAGCCAGCAGTTTGCGTCAAATCTTCACCTTGTTGCAATCCCCCACCCTGAGCTGCATAATGGCAACAGTGATTGATCGGTTCAAGTGTAGTTTCTATGGCAAGAAAAACAACAACAATAAAAAACCACAACATGGATTAATGTCAACAACTACTGCAAATACTACGAACATGCGTAGTAGAGCAGGTAAAGACAGCGGCAGAGTGAGGAAATGTGGTCAGTTTGTCCTCCAGCTGTCTATAGCAGCACACCTAAGAGTTCAGGAAACCCAAGTCAACCCTAACTATAGGATTTATCAAAAAAGGAAAGACTTAAGCAAAACTGGACATTGTGTCAGCCTCACAAACGGAAACTAGAAGTTGGTTCCACAAGAGAGGAGCCTGATAACTGAAAGCTCTATCATTCTACTTTTGGAAACTCTAGGAACCACAAGTAAACCTGCAGTCTGGGAGCAAAGTGCTCTGCTAAGAAAATAGGGAATAATACAATCTTTATTATAAGGCAGAGCTTGGTTGTTGTGAGTTTGTGAAGAGAAGCTAAAATCTTCGAACTCTCATCAGAACTCCAGCAGCAGCATTGTAGTTCATCTAGACTTGGTTAGGTTGGATCCAAAGTTCAACTTGGCAAAACATGAAATCTCTTGTTAAAGTTTTTCTGTGAGGGAAAAACTGCTGAATGAGACGTCTGTTTGATCTGAAGTGATTCGACTGAACTTGGAGACAAAGTCCTGATCTGATCGCTTGGTCCCCAAACTCCCTGGTGAGGATGATGATGGTTGCTTACATGCTGCACGAGCTGCGATGACCTCTGCTCTGTTTTTCAGACCCAGGCAGCTCAGATGGTGCTGCAGAACCATGAGAGCTCTGCCATGTCTCGTATAGCCGTCCTGCTGGGTCTGATGGGCGTCGGTCTGTCTGGTTACAGCTCCCGGCAGCTCACCCTGCACTACAAGCCGACAGGTCGCCTCTTCAGATGAGACGAAAGCCATAGTCACATTTTTGTTCAAGTCGTTTGGGGAAATATGCATATTCTGATGGTGGATTCATGGATTTGAACACAGCTGTCATGCATTGTTTCTGTTTCTTTCAATGAAAATATACACCCCATTAAAACACAGTTTATTTTAACACTCTTATTTTAAAATTTGGCATGTTAATAAGGTTTAGAGATACTGGTGGGTGAAATTTGTTACCGTTTTTTATCAACCTTTGTGTAAGTTTCCACCTTCTTGAAAGTCGAATTGAAGAAATGGTGTCAGAATCTGCTGTAGTTTTCTTTTTCTTTCCTTTGTGCATCAAACCCTGTTTAACCCTCCACATAATTCAGGTTCAACATCATACAAGTTCTTTACTTATTAGGATTTTAATTGTTTTTTTTTAGTTGACGAGATTGTTGCCTTAAGGGTCTGCTGGTGCTGTAAAAAGGTCCCTTCATGAGCTGCCTTTTTATTTCTGCACAGTGGAATCATTTTGTTGAATGTGAATGACAGATATGCAGCTTGTAATGTTTCTTTTGAACGTGAGTGATGTTGTATTTGGGTCACAGTTTCTGCAACTCCCCCATCTAGCGCCTTTTTATGGGAGTATTTAGAAATCAAAAATATCTTCCAGAAACCCCATACGTTAAAAAAGGATCATCCTTGTTACAGTTTGTCCTTCTCTGACACTTTATTTTCCTCCAACAACTAATGCTGGAAGAAAGTAAAAGACAACAAAAGCAAATTTGGAAAAATATCATATCAGATTAATTTTTCCACTCAAAAGTCTAAAAGTTTCATGCTTGAATCTGAAAGTAAACATAAGTTTTTATTTTCTCCTAAGTACATTTGTTTGGATATAGGCTCATTTTACGGAGGGCAGAAAGAAAACTCCCCCTTCAAATGAAACATTTCAAATATGTACTCTCTGACATGTAAACTACGTGACTTTTGCACTTTTTTGTGTACATAACTTGTATATAATCACACACACATCCCTCAGATGCTTGTTGAGATTAGTGGTGCGGGATGTGGAGTGCTCCCAGCTTGTGTTGTGAGCCGGACTGGGCGACATCCAGCTGGATTTTCCACACAGCATGGCTGTGCTGTTGTTGAGCGGAGGGACCAGGACAGCCCCCCTGGGTCCCCCCTGGATCAACATGTGAATTCATCCAGATCTCTCCCAGTTGCACAGAGACTCCACACACTCAGGAGTTCAATGTTTGATTGACCTCTAACGTTTCTTAATAAAAGGAAATTTTAGTATTTGTGTATTTACGATGCTTTTCAAACTAACTTTGACAGCATATGAATGTACTGTAAAAAAAAAAATAGCAGAAGTTAAAAGTGTAGTTAAACCATGTGGTCCCCAACCCTAGTCCTTGAGGAACACCATCCTGCATGTTTTAGTCGTGTCCCTGCTCCAACACACCTGATTCAGTGATTTAATTACTTCAGGTTCTGCAGAAGCCTGTTTATTACCCATTAATTAAAATCAGGTGTGTCGGAGCAGAGAAACAACTAAAACATACTGGATGGTGTTCCCCAAGGACCATGGTTGGGAACCCCTGAGTTAAAGTGTAACTGTAAAGATGTTTGTGCTGTAACTTTTGTGCTAAAGCAATCTGAGGTTATGT